GTTATAATTGGTTTTTACCAATCTAGGATGCGCATCCTGGATTCCACTGCTAGCCACTGCCATCATAACTATACAGTTTTAGATTGTCAGAATACGCGTTATTCTTTCTGAAATAATTTTTTAGGTTAAATACCCTTTGTATTTTGAGGTTAATGCAGATCTTATGTTTAAGGTAGTATTCATCACGGACTGGCATCAGTTAGAGAATCATTCAAAATCTGAAAGCACTGAACAGCTGTTTCGTCCTAGTACAAGACTCCTCAGCAGTGCGCACCCACAACCTGGCTAGGGATTGAACTCACTACCTTCAAGTTTTACGGCGGACGCTTTAACCATTCAGCCACTGGGTAGGAATTCAATGGTCGACACTTTCCCACTTCTGTCATTTCGCGATGTAGCGCGACTATCATGTAAAATCTTCGGTTGATATCCGTTTTACTTTCGGCTGGTTGATCCCACAGGTCACGGCTTCTCATTAGAACTTTGTAATATCCATCTGGAAGCATGTCACTAATGAGCACTATACAATAATGTATTCTCTGATGCGACCTGCTTAAGCCTTCGGTTACCAAAAGTTTTTTTCTACCGAATATATTTCACAAAATTCTTCCCTTTCTGTCTGTTTTGATCTTCTTTTGAATGTATCATGTACTCTCCCACCCTTTAAGAAGTTTTCAAACGTTCCTTTCTCAAGCTAAGAGCTAAATAAAGAAAAATACCGTTATGATGGATAGAAATGGATATATAAATGCTCAAAAATATAGCACAGTACTATTCTTAGGCGATACTTATATCGAATTGGAGATTTCTATACTGACTGACTGCACTACTATGATCATAATTACACTAGATTTTCTATTAATCCCCAAGTTCACGCCATATAGCTAATATAACACCATCCTCCTGTTTCACTTAAGTGCCTTTAATACTGTTATGACTAACACTATTGAGATGGAATAATTATTTCTTTTAAAAATATTCTACAGAAACGGTATTTGTTTGAATATTACCTGGTGAGAATTCCATAATGTTGTTTGAAATAAAGCGATTATCATTATTACTATTATTATTTGAAGTTAGTAGAGATTTTACCTTAAGGTAGTATTTAGCATAGACTAACAAAACAGGTGTCTAGTGTTGCCAGGTTTTTAATGCTTCTACAACAGATGTCAGTTCTTGATGAATACGACCATAAAATACTCTTTGCCATGATTTTTAATTGAAGAATTTCGATATTAAACTTGTCTCTATAGAAAATTAATAGCTGCTTATGTATTTCAGGTTAAAAAATTTTCTAACACAGAATATTTCCGAGTATTTGAAAATACTGAAGTTTGTACAATAAGACTGCTTTATTCTACCATTTCTAAGTCACTTGTCTGTCAGTAGTTCTCTTGTCTGTGTGTTTGTAACACTACCACCTCAGTCCATGACTGTAATTCATGAATAACCAATCAGATAGTGAAAGACATACAGTTGATGACTCATAATGTAAGGTGATGAAGGCATTTCTTAGAGTGACTTTTGAGGCTACCCTAACAACTTCTGAAACAACCAATCAGGTTTCGGTATTCCGGACAGAAAGGTAGTTTTCCATAAATCAGATTGGTTATTCCAGTTGTTGCTGAGGTGGCCTTTAAATTCAATCCTTTTCTTGTGCACATGTAAGTTCATCAAGCAATACAGACAAAGTTACAACACGGAAATAGCTGATTGGATGAAATTTACTTCGTTTCTACCGACAAAGTACGAGATGTTGAAACTGAAAATCAATACAATTGACTTTACAGCAGAGTTTCACTTTGTGAAAATTATTATTATTATTAGTGCAGGTTATGAAGCCGCCTATCCTTCATATGAGTGCATACTTATTACTCAACATGATTACTGTGTACTGCTAACTCAAAAGTAAACCATTTTTCCTCTCAAACATCATTTGAAATGTGAACAAAAAGGTGTCAGTCGGAGAGTGTTTACTCAACAATATCAGTATGACAGCCAGAATATACATCAACAGTTAACTTCAATTTCTTCCTCTTCTTTATCTAAGCTATAATCATTTTCAAATGAAAACTAGTAGTCTAAGTATTTAATGACCAAAATGACCATCTTTGTTTTCTATAATCATGTGTGACAGACAATAATCTAAGTGAATGTTAAGGATGTCTGATCCCTAAAAACTAACTCTTTGTAAAATTTAAGCTTTATTTTCGCATCTTTTTCACTCCATAAAACGTTACTTCTTTTTCTTTTTTAACCGTGGTTTAAGATACTAAACACTATTATTATTTGTCCTTGGGTTCCTAGTGGAACATAAGGCTTCACTAGCACATCTCCATTCCACTCTCTTCTCTGCAATCTTTTCACCACCACCTCCACCAATGCCCACAACTTCTCATTCCTTCCTGACATAATCTCCTCTCCTCCATGTCACCCACTCTTAGCTGGGACACACAACTCACCGTTTCCCATCTAGGTTCCACTCGAGTGTCTGGTCTGACCTGTCACGTGATGTCCCCGAATGGTCTTCTCAGTGTATGCCTGATCCAATCCATCTACACTTCCTTCCAGTACATATTCGTTGAGCGATAGGTTGTTGGTTGGTTGGTTGGTTAGTTGGTTGTCAGTGAGCCAGCCAGTGAGCCAGCTAGACAGTCAGCTAGCCAGAGTTCCTTGTTGCTCATTCTCATTATTTTTGGGCATGTGAGTTTGAGTAAGGAGCCAGAGTAGACAGTTGTTGATGAATATGTGTAGTTTGTTGGAAATGCATTTCGTAACTCACCGAGTCTGTGAAGCATATAGAAGTACTGAGTTGACTGGATTGTTGTTGAACATGCGGATGTTGTTCATGGTTTATGCTGAGTGCAGTGCAGTGCAGTGTAGGAGATCTCCACACTGGTTTCAGGTTAATGAACGCCTGTCTTATCGTGGCTTTGACATGGTCGTGTGTGCGTGTGCCGTCTGTAGTTGAGAGAGTGCTGTCTGTCTAGGTGGGTGAAGGAGGCTACTTGCTTTACGTTTCTCGCGTTGATTGTGATTGGTGCCTCTTGTTGTTGTTGGTGTTGGTGTTGGTTGGGTATCTTCATCACCTCTGTCTTCTGTACGTTCACTTGAAGGAAGTTCCGTCTTCTGTGCTGTGTCTGTTCTGTCAACTTGTTGGATTTTGCGTGTATATCTTTGAGTTTGTGCTAGAAGATATTCGACACAAGTCATCGGTGAAATCCAAATCATCTAGGATCTTTTTTCCGGTCCAGCGTATCCCCTTACTGACAAATATTTATGCTTTAGTATTAAATACTTTTAACTGTACAGGTTATGAGTATAATGTGTTCAAAAACAGATTTGTTTTCGAGAAATTTCCTTATTTTAATTAAAATAATCATTTCAAAAAGGTTAAATACTCGATAGATGACACCATGAAGTGTGACAACAGAGAATAAATCATGAAATATATCAAATGACAGTTGATGGAGTCCAACAAATGCATTACAAAGCCTAATTGCAAATTAGCGAGCTGTAAGCCTATACCAGCCAAACGTTACCCGATAAGCAAAAATATACTCCTAATAAACTTTAGTTACAGCTGTCAAAATGGCAGAGAACTGTGAAAATCAACTTCATGCGTGCATATATATATATATATATATATATATATATATATATATATATATATATATATATATATAGTAATTGGGCAGTATCATTCCTTAACCCACCCTATTTCATACATATAATGGATGTGACATATGCGTTCGATAAATGCAATCGATCGATTAATTTTAAAGAATGTATTGTTTATAACGAAATCAGTGTAGAGATCTACTGTACTCTTCACAATGAACAAGATCCAGATTTTCAACACTAATATCAAGTCAGTGCTGCTATATGGTTCAGAAACTTGGAGCGTCACGAAAAGCACTTCCAACAAACTACAAACATTCATCAACTGCTGCTGCCTACGCTAGCTTGATAGTGAAGGTCACATGGCCAGAAAGAATAGGCAAGAAAGAATTCTGGCAGCGAACCAACCAACAACATATTACCCAACAAATATGCACTGGAAGGAAGTGGATATGGATTGGGCATGCACTGAGAAGTCCATTCGGGAACATCACGTGGCAGGTCCTCGAATGGAATACAAAGGGGGAAACGACGAGTTAGGCATCCCAGTTGAGGGTGACATGGAAGAGATCATGTGAGGGAGAAATGAAAGTCTGTGAGCAGTAGTAGAGTGATGTTCAAAAAATTGCAGAGAAGAGAGTGGAATGGAGGCGTGCTAGTGAAGCCGTATGTTCCACTAGGAACCCAAGGGAAAAATAAATAAATCATAATTATTTATAACATTCTCTAGTCATTAATATCCCTTTCCATCCAATTCATTAGGGCAGTAGATACTTCAATAACCAATCACAGTACCTTTAAGTTACAATGTCTTTTTACAGTCTGGTCAGCCTTCATAATTGATTAGACACAAGGACAACATCTAGTTTCGACTATATGCAACTTTCTATGAATCTTTTTAGAACCAGAAGTTTTTTGGACATCTGAGGCTAGTATACATTTATATGTATATATGCGAAGTTTTGTCTGTTCAACTGATGGTGTATTGGGAATCAAATCAATTTCTCGACATTGTTATTGTTTTCTCTGACTACAGTTTTGAATGTTGCATAATATAAGCACCAGAAAACGATATTGTTTCAAAGTAGAAAACTTCTGTTTATCTTGTATTGAATAATGCAATATATATATATATATATATATATATATATATATATATATATATATATATATATTCGTTCAATCTAATTGACTCAAACATGTAAATACAATCTTATATAGAATTGTGTTATATGTACAGTGTGTAGATCAGGTTGAACACATTTAAAAAGAAAGTAGTTTAAAACAAACATGATGAAGAAACATATGTTATGAGTGGATGCTGTACAAAAGCTGATTATTTAACATGAATAGTGTGTAATAATTATGAAAGATATACATCACAAATTTGTTGAAAGAAATGAATTAGGTGATTTTTGATAATCCATGGTAGAATCTGGTTCAATAGGTTCATTTATATCAGAGGTGTGATCAGTTTTTGATTGTTGATTCAGTGTAGATGGTTGAAATGAAATTTCCAGGAGATGATCACTTTCTGCTTTAGTGATTTGCTTTTCTGTAAGATGTAAACTTTCTGTTCCAATCGAAATTGATGGTTTGGAAAAATCGATGTATTTGTTGCTTACATAATCCTACAAAAAAAGGTGGAATACACTTAGATTCCCTTATGTAATTGATACATTTAAACAGTCTAATAATATGCTATTACGAATATTGATGAATGACAAACAGAAATATTAGATAAGCTAGAGATAACTCACTAACCTGTGGGTTGTCAATACTAATTTGCATTGACTAGACGGAGTTTTAGCTGTTTGGAATAATACCTGCCTCCCAGTTGTATTACTAGAACTGGAACCGATTACTCCAGATAAGACGAAACGCGCTTCTTGGATCCTACTGCTAACCAGCCATTATCCACCATTAGTGTGAAAGTGAAATGAAGGTAATATACAGGCATCCGGGCAGAAGCCTACATGCTAGTAGAGATTGATCAATTCGACCGAACATAAAAACCGTATCCACCGAACAAGAAGTGGCCAGCGTTACTCGGTAAGCTAGTACATAACACTCTGGCGTTTGAAGCGATCTGTCCCGGGTTTGGGTCATAGTGGGAACAACATCGCTCACTAGGAGGCAGATGCATTCAGCTGATCAAGCCTGATTAGGATGAAACGCGCATTCTGGATCCCACTACTAGCCACTATTCACCATTAATATGTTTCAAATAAGACTATTTGAAATTTGTTACGACTTTTTATTATAATTCGATGTCATTTGAATATTCCTTGAAAATCCATGTCTAATTGGTAATTGTTTGGTTCTTACCATTTTACAGATCCTTACAAACACATATACATTTGTTTTATAGAATTTTGCAAAAGACTATCTGATTACCCGGCTACCGCTTGAAACATTAGGTTTTCTCCAAGTGAAAGACACTTCCCATCAACTTATGATTTTATTCTGCCTAGCTCTAATTATTTTGAATGAACTCAGCAACCTTGTGCACATTCGTGCAGCAAAACAATGGGTGACACCTATTGTTTGAGAGCAAGTGATACTGCTTGGCTTCCGCAACCTCAGCAGGTTCAAACCCGTGAACCATCAGTTGGAAGTCATCTCCCTAGACCGATGAGTCACACCTTGAAGTATCATAAACACTAATAACTCTCATAAATCGAACGTGCTTTCTTATCAGTTCGATCTAGAACACATTACAGAGAGTTTGACAGTTGTGGTCTTCAGGTGTACAACAGTGAAAAGTACTAGAGTAGTAGGTGGTATTAAGTCGCAGGGAAGACCATCTTACCTTCACCAGAGTTGTTTAACCCAGTAGACCAAAATTTATCCTAAATTTATGATAAAATTATCGATCAAAGTCAGATATGATTAATTTTTAATAATTTGACTTATTTTTATCTACAGTACAAAGAAAAGTTTTGATAGTAGTGAGATGAGGTTGTGTTTTTAACTCTCTCCATATGAAGTTTATCTGATAGTTTTGATTCACTTCTGTGCATTCCTTAAATTACTGTTCTTTTGTTGTCATTTTTAAGGGTTTCATATATCATTTAGTATATATCAGCATTAGCAATGTGACTATCTGGGAGGTCTTTGGTTTAGTATACTGTTATTATTAATACTGAGTGGTGATTAAAGATGAAATACAAATCTAGGTCATGGCAGGACTGGAACTGGTGGCCTCTAGGTTACCGGGACCATAATCAATATAGTTCACCTCCCTCCTCTCTAATTCAGCTCGATTTAGATTGAGAGGAGAAGTCCTGACTGGGTAGCCAGTGTGACACGATGAACGGGTAGTCATGCATCACAGATTCATACAGCAGCCGGACAAAAGTCTTAGTGATTTAAGTGAAATCAAGACCTGATCAACAGTTAGGTTCCTTAGCTCAGTTGGCAGACTTTTGGACTCGTAACCTAGAGGTCGCTGGTTCGAATCCTGCCGTGGTCCATCACTCACTACCAATGTATAATTATTATTGGTCAAGCTGGGTAACTTTGCACCTCAAGTTATTGGTTGTCTACACAGTGGAGTTATATTTCACTTGACGGTTTCAGTACAGGATAAAGATGTATGTTTCAAAGAGGTTGAACGATGCGATCCAGTATAGCAATACGCAATTACAAGTATGAAACAATAACCGATGCCCATTGCACAAGAGGTGGCTATTATACCCTAGTGGCCTACTAGGTGACGTTTTAGCGTTTGAAGCGATGGGTGCTTGTATTACTCACCTTAATAAGGCTAATTTTTCTTTATATTGAAAACTGGTCATGTTAATCTTTTACAAGAATCATTTAAGAAAACTTTATTTCCCAAGAGTTGCTCTCATGATAGTAACCAGCTCACTAAGTTCTTTAAATGAAGAAGTACAGTATTTCCAATAAGTTATGCATTACAATGCCCAGGTACAACTCTTTCGGTGATAAACTTTTGTAGACAATGATTCCTTTTACCATTACAGTTGTGTTTCTAAGACTTTAAATTAATGTTTTTCTAATCGAAATACATACACTCAGAAATTAACAAATGACAGGCGGAATTAATGGATTTGATAGAATTGATGTAAAGTTGACTCCTGTGAGTAAGGCACTATTCTGAATTGTTTCGTGAGTTGAAGTGCTTCATGTGTTTACGAGCTTAAAGTATGAAGGTCGGATACATAACTTCCTGCTAACTAAAGCTAGATATTAAACAGAGAAACTTTGTCCAAACTCTTGATCAAATTACATGACACTGATTGAAAACATTGAACTAAGAAGACTATCAATGCATACTTACAGGTAAATGACTGTCAACTATTTTTGGTTGGTGTTCAGAGTTCTCCTCAGCTCTTTTATGTGTTCGGTTAATAATTGATAGAGGTGAGAAATTTCCTCGAGGATCATTTGAATCATATGGATTTCGACAAATATTCTCAAGCAATTCATTTCGATAGTAATCCATTCTATTGGAAATTAAATGAGTACTTTGATAGAGTTTTATCAACGCACTGCAATAATCATTGAATACTTGATCTTTCAGTGAAGGTGAAATGTGATTTTCATCGCTTGTTGTTGTTGGTGTTGTTGTTGTTTCATTTCTAATTGAACCACTCGGATTTCTAATGAGGCATTCATTGTTCAATGAATCAGTTGACACCTTGAACTGTTGATTTGTTAAATCATTGATTTGATTTTTGATACTCAGTAAAGATAATGGAATAATTGGATGACTTCTCTGTTGTGTTTCATTTTTTGATTCCAATGTTTCAAGATTTTGATATCTTGTTAAACAATGCCATGGTGTAGTGATTTGACCGATTGGATCTACTGTACTTTGACAGTTGAAACTGATTTGTTTACGCCAACGGGCTCGACGATTACTAAACCAAACCTAGAAGGAAATAAAATTGTGTTCGAATATGTTAGTTTTACATTAAATATTTAATTCTAGTGTATTTAATCGCATGCAAAAAAGCCTTTTACAAGGATAATTAACTTTCCAGACATTAGTCCATTATGTCAGCTAACTTGAAACCAATAAATCCGAATTCATTTATTCTCCTTTGCTCATTAGTGACTTACTTCGAGATGAGATTTCTCATAGTTCTGGTGCGTGGTCGTAGCCGGTGCAGTAAACCATTTCGGATATGAGGAAAGGATTGGATGAAAGCCTCACTGTGACGCGAATTGACAGAAGTAGGAAAATATGTATCATTAGGTCCCAGCAGAATGGCTTAACAATGAATTATATGTTGTGAAGCCCAAGTTTCTGGGTTTGATTTCTGGCAGGGTTATAGGTGAACACTACTGAGGTTTCCCATACCAAGACGAAACAACTGTCTAATGCTTCAGCTAATATCATTTCCTGATGAATATCACCTTGAAATCAGTCAGTCTCCACAAATCTCCAAATTGAATTTCCAGAGATTAAAAATTAAACTTATTGCTAGTCTAGAGACAGCAGTTGAGATTTCCTGGACGACCTCTTCATACACTTCGACAAGGTGTCTGCAGGCTCAGAGAAATTTAGGTAGCTTCCGATATTCAAGTAAGCCTGCATTATCAGTTAGATGACAGGTAATTAGTTTAGATACACTGCATTAGTCACAAAAGACAACTACTTCCTGTGTAAACACTGTTGTTTCCTTATCCTAAATATGGTTACTGTGAGTTGATCATTTACTGCGTCACCCACAGATGTAACGCGAAACTCATAACTAACTGTTAGTCTCCTTAAGCATTTTATAATAAAAACCATTTTATGAATTTACGAGGACTGTTTGCTGTGAAACCAAACTTAGCAGGTTTTTACTCAATAGACTGACTGTATATATTGGGGGCTTATCTTAAACTCTACTGTATTCGTTTACCATGAAAGCCATATTGACTGGTGTCAATACAGACTACAAATCACGTCAAGACCTTATCACTATCGTATATACTATCTTTTTTATTTCTTGTGGAACATAAAACCTCCACGTCTTATGGTAAACATGTTATTGTTAAAGGAGAATAGTTGTGATACATCAAGGGGAAATGTAAAAGGACAGCCGACAATTTTCGACTCTACAACACCCGTGTCAAGACTCCAAGTGACCAGGTTCTCTCCCGAAGGTTATTCAAATGGTAAATTGTTTAGGTCGAAAGAACTGTTAGAAATTGCTCGATTTTCAGTGTTATTTTTCCAAATGACAATGAGGCATACAGATAACATTTAATTTAATCAATAAATTTGGTTGATTGTGGCTAGCAGAAGAATCCACAACGCGCGTTTTGTCCTATTTGGGACTCGTCAGCTGGATGTACATGCACTCCAGTGATGTTTTTCCCACTGAGAATCGAACCTCGTACCCAGGTCGAACAATTCAATCCAACAAAACAACAGAGAATAACAAGTATGTCAATAAATAGTAACTAATCAATAGAGTTTTGAAAATCGCCATCCAATATAGAGTTCACTCACGTCTAGACACTCAACTTTCAACTAAGAGCTGACTGCTCCACTTATCGAAGTTCAGGCATCCAGTTAGCATTGTTAGCCCTCACACAATCAATGTAGTTGGTTGTTTACTGTATAAAAGTACATTTGATTGTTGAGTGTATTCTAATTTTCTTTTGATCGCTATTCAATATTGACAGTCTACATTTCTATCTACGGTGAAATTTTAAATTGGCGCTTTGTACTATCAAATTTTAATAAGTATGAAGATTGTGATTGATTTAAAAATCATAAGAACTGTTTGAAAAATTACTTACAAATTGTACGAATTACCTCAACATTTATCAACTACTTAACCGTAGTACTAAGAAGATATCTATCAGAAACTATCAAATTGTAGTCATAGGTTTTCAAGTCTTACATGAAAGTGTTTTGAATTAATAAAGTATACTATAGAACAATGAGAAGTTATTGTCTTACAAATCATTCACTTTCTTGAATCCATCTTCTAAAAAGCTAATCAAACAAATTAGTATGACGTAAAATGCTGAGAGGAATGTTATCATCATATTACTGTAAGATTGTTGCACACATACTAGCTTATGATTTTAAGTACGTGACTTAACAAAAAGATAGTTATTATTATTATTTGTCCCTTGGGTTCCTAGTGGAACATAAGGCTTCACTAGCACATCTCCATTCCACTCTCTTCTCTGCAATCTTTTCACCACCACCTCCACCAATGCCCACAACTTCTCATTCCTTCCTGACATAATCTCCTCTCCTCCATGTCACCCACTCTTAGCTGGGACACACAACTCACCGTTTCCCATCTAGGTTCCACTCGAGTGTCTGGTCTGACCTGTCACGTGATGTCCCCGAATGGTCTTCTCAGTGTATGCCTGATCCAATCCATCTACACTTCCTTCCAGTACATATTCGTTGAGCGATAGGTTGTTGGTTGGTTGGTTGGTTAGTTGGTTGTCAGTGAGCCAGCCAGTGAGCCAGCTAGACAGTCAGCTAGCCAGAGTTCCTTGTTGCTCATTCTCATTATTTTTGGCATGTGAGTTTGAGTAAGGAGCCAGAGTAGACAGTTGTTGATGAATATGTGTAGTTTGTTGGAAATGCATTTCGTAACTCACCGAGTCTGTGAAGCATATAGAAGTACTGAGTTGACTGGATTGTTGTTGAACATGCGGATGTTGTTCATGGTTTATGCTGAGTGCAGTGCAGTGTAGGAGATCCCCACACTGGTTTCAGGTTAATGAACGCCTGTCTTATCGTGGCTTTGACATGGTCGTGTGTGCGTGTGCCGTCTGTAGTTGAGAGTGTGCTGCCTGTCTAGGTGGGTGAAAGTGGTTACTTGCTTTACGTTTCTCGCGTTGATTGTGATTGGTGCCTCTTGTTGTTGTTGGTGTTGGTGTTGGTTGGGTATCTTCATCACCTCTGTCTTCTGTACGTTCACTTGAAGGAAGTCCCGTCTTCTGTGCTGTGTCTGTTCTGTCAACTTGTTGGATTTTGCGTGTATATCTTTGAGTTTGTGCTAGAAGATATTCGACACAAGTCATCGGTGAAATCCAAATCATCTAGGATCTTTTTTCCGGTCCAGCATATGCCCATCTTCTCGCTCCCCTCTGTTTGCTGCATGATCCAGTCTAGTCCAGTCGACAACAATCAGGAAGATCATCGGTGATAGTAAACGGCACCCTTGTCTTTCTCCTGTCTTCACTTCAAAGGCTTTTTTGAGCTTCCCATTGTGAGTTACTTGGCATGTCGCATCTTCATATAGTTATTGAATGAGGTTGATAAATGTTTGTGGTGTTCCGTAGTGTTGAAGCAGTTACCAAATTACTTCTCATTTTTTCTGTTTTCTCTGCTAAATATTATCTCTTGAATTGACTTCTACTCTGATTAATGTTCCATTTGAATTTCTTAAAGATGATTGGTAGAATGATACAAATTATTTTGACCGAAACTCACCAACATTCTGTCTATAAGCTTAAGAGTTATGTGGGAAAAGAACGTTTCTGAACTATGTAGCTATGAAACTAGGGACTTGTAAGATAAACTGTTTATTTTAAATAAATAAATGGAATACTCGAAAAATTTCATCTGGCTGTGTGAATAAACTTTCTATCGAAATTTTTATGCAAAGTAGTATCTTCTTTTGCAAAGACCATATATAGAATAGTTAAACAAAAGCCTAAAGTCATTAAGTTGACTTCGAATTCACCAGGAAGTTACATAAAGAAAGTGAAGTTCTCTGGTATAACGTAACCTTTACTTTTACAATTTATTAATGCATGCATATTACCTACTCTTCTTCATTGTTCCCCGTTTGTCTTTCCTGGTCTACTAAAAAGGACTGTTATACTATGTAGGGCTTGGAAAGCTATCAGTAGGGTGAGTGCAGTGTCTCTTGACTAACTGATTAACACTGTGGTTGATAGACACTTAAACTCTAGCAAGCAACTAGCCATAGTAATTTTAACGGACACTTAGCACCCACATCAATCACAGCTATCTCCTTGTATCTCCTCAGAAATTACGTCGGACTGTACGCTCGTACAGCTGAGTACAAAAAATCGACCGTACCATATTATGTGAGAAGAAAAGTGTTAGAACAGAACTCATATATGAATTTTATAACAGTTATTAATATCTCTCGAATAATTTAATTAAAAATGTGAAATTTTCTCCTCATTAACATTTTTTACATTGCTTAGAGTTTCATAATAACACAGTTCGAAATGCAAAGGAGTATACACATACATATGCTTTGTTGTTGTTGTTGTTGCAATATATCATGCTAAGAGCTCTGGATCGTATCAAAAGTTGTTTGGAATAAAGTGATTACTATTATTAAATATCACTCAAAAACAATGATTTGCACTTAAAAAATTTAGGACAATTACTAGTATGTCAACAAATAGTAATGAGAAACTTCTGTTATATAGCTTATTGTTTATTTATTGAGTATAATTCTCTAGGAATTTAACCTGACTTTTTGTACTTATTCTCATATATCGTCATTCGCTTAGCTCACTTGAACACGTTTTACGGTCATTGCAAACTTGCTCTATATTTGTGCGAAGTCAGTTTTGCTACTAACAAGTAGTCAAAACCTATTACAAAAATATTGGAGTTATTGTAAATAATGTTGCCATCATTCATTTATTATTGTAAAGTATTTCAAAGCAACACATGAATTTTTGTAATCACTTTTTAAAATATATTCTTCAGAGTGCATTTGGTAGTTGTTTTACCGGATATATTAGTGATTCTAATGTTCCAAGTTGTTATTCATCGAAGACTGACATCAGTTGGAGGAACAAAGGAAACCTGGGAGCACTGGACAGCTGTTTCGTCCAACTAGTATGGGACTCCTCAGCAGTGCGCACCCACCACCCCACCAGCAGGGATCGAACCCGCGATCTTCAGGTTCCGCGACCAGCGCGTTACCATTGAGCCACTGGCTCGGCAGAATCCAATGCTCCATATTTCCAACTTCTGGTGCGCACTGCTGAGGAGTCCCATACTAGTTGGACGAAACAGCTGTCCAGTGCTCCCAGGTTTCCTTTGTTCCTCCAACTGATGTCAGTCTTCGATGAATAACAACTTGAAATAATTCCAAATCTCCACAACCCTCAAAATTCTAATGTTCATCAGGTTTGAGATGCAGTTGCTATATATCATCAACCAACAAAATAAGATTTAAGCTCCCGGATTTCTTATGACTACTGCAAAACATCTGAAATTTGAATGTCCTACTACGATGCTTAATAATTTTCAGCTGACCATGATCGCTCGATCTCTTTATTTTCGGCTCTTAACCCTCACATATTTCATAGGTTTTCGGGATAACGAGGACTTTATGAGACTTCTATGCAAAAGTGATCTTAATAACCTACTTGAATTTTGCATTCAGGTAAATTAGTTTGATAAGCAAGTGTTTCACGTAGTTGTAGGTCAGGATAATGCGTATGTTGAAATGCCAACTCAAGAAATTCCACCTGCAATAAAAATGGAATAGACAGTTACTTATAACTTTTTATCTCAGTTGTTAGAAACATAAAAAGAATTGAGTAATTTCATAGTAAGTTATTATGAAAGGTGATAAGGTTATCAATCATAGATTTACATCAACCAGACAAACAATGGAAAACCTTTAAGCACTAGGCATTTGTTTAATTCTTGTTTCGGACCTCTTAAGAATGCACTGTCATAACCTCATCTTAAATCGAATCTATGATACTAATACTCAACTGCTCAAAATGATGGTCCTGCAAATTTATAGATTGAATCAGTTGATTCTCTGCATGATTATACTTTAAACATTAGGTCAATTTTATCCTTATTTATCAGGGGATAGCTAATCACTTATAACTAATTAACTGTTTATAAATTAAAAGTGTCAATTTCTAATTCGGTCGATATTTCTGAGCACTAAATATTTCCCTAACCTCGCCTGGTTAACTAGTTTACTAGTTACTAGCCGGTCCTAAGCCCGGGTAAAGAGGGAAGGTTGGGCATAGGGCTAGCAACCCTACCCCGTAAAAAAATCTAACCGCTAAAGAAACTTCAAAGCACAAACAAAATATAAAAAATGAAAACAAACTTATACCCCGCTGGAATCGGAGAGGCGAAATGACGCCAGTTGGTGAAAGCTTGCTAGGGAAGCCAATTGGCCCTGTATCTTCTCTCGATGAAAGCAAAAGTAAACGTGGGGACATGGAATGTCCGCACGATGTTTGAACCCAGCAAGGCAGCCCAGATTATAAAAGAGATGAGAAGGTATCACATTGAAGTGCCTGGAATTTGCGAAAGCAGATGGAATGCGAGTGGACTCTCCAAACTGTCAACTGGAGAATCAATAATCTACTCCGGTCACCCAGACGACAACCACGAGCACACTCAATGGAGTGGCTATCATGATGTCCTCAAGAGCATCGAAGGCTCTCATGCAGTGGGAACCAATCTCCTCCTGGGATCATGACAGCAAGGTTCAACTCAAAAGGAAGGAAGGTCACAATCATACAATGCTAAGCACCTACGAATAATGCAGAGCAAGAGAAAAAGGAGGAATTCTACAGACAACTTCAATCAACACTGGACAAGACGTCTCAGTTGGCGATGTCAAAATTCCAATGGGTGGGGCGACATGAATGCCAAACTGGGAGGGGACAACACAGGAAGAGAACTAACCATGGGTCGAGAGGCGCTAGGTGAAATGAATGAGAATGGAGAACTGTTTGCAGAATTCTGCGCATTCAACGATTTGGTGATTGGAGGCAGTGTGTTCAGGCACAAAGATATCCACAAAGTGACATGGATTTCACCAGATGGACACACTAAAAATCAAATCGACTTCATCTCAATCTCAAGAAAATGGAGACGCAGTCTACTTAACACAAGGTCAAGAAGAGGAGCAGATGTAGGTTCAGACCACTATCTAGTGCAAGGAACCTTCCAAATCAAGTTAAAAGCCTTCAAGGAAGCTGGTGATAGACCTCAATTCAAGTACAACACTCGGAAGCTGAAGGAGGAAACTACAAAGGAGATCTTCAAGGCAGCCATCAAGACAAAATGGGAGATATCAAGCAACATCCCGAAGAAACCTGTTTGGAAGAACACTGGAAGTCTTTGAAAGCTATGTGGAAAGAAACCTGCACAACAGTATTAGGAAGGAAGAAGAAAGAAGACAAGGAATGGATCTCGACGGATACCTGGAAGCTGATAGAGGAGAGGAGGATGGTGAAGCAGAAGATAAACCAGTGCAAGGATGCGCAACGACAAGAGGAACTGAGCACAATGTATAAAGCACTGGACAAAGAAGTGAAGAGTGCACGCAAAGACAAAAGACACTTCTACGAAACACTGGCAAGTGAAGCAGAACAGGCTGCAGGTAAGAGAGACCTGACGACATTGTATCAAATAACCAGGTTGCTATCTGGGAAGAGACCAACACAGATGAAACCAATAAAAGATGAAGAAGGAAATTTAATTACAAAAGAAGAGAAACAGAGGAAACGATGGGCCGACCACTTCAAGAAGCTCTTGAATCGACCACCACCTGCACTTCGTCCAGAAATACCACCTGCAGCCGCTGAATTACAAGTGAACATTAAACCCCCAACGAAAATGGAAGTCCTGAACGCCATAAAGCTACTGAAATGCGGGAAAGCAGCAGGACCAGATGGGATACCGCCAGAAGCACTGAGAACAGATGCAGAGACAACAGCGGACATGCTCACACCACACCACTATTGCAGAAGGTGTGGAAGGAAGAGAAGGTACCTGCCCATTGATTGGAAGAAGGGTTACCTTGTCAAACTGCCGAAGAAGGGAGACCTCAGTGCTTGCAAGAACTGGCGAGGAATCACTCTCCTGTCCACCCCAAGTAAAATATTAAGCCGCATCATCCTAGAGAGGCTTAAAGACGCACTGGATTCAAAACTGCGACCGGAACAGGCAGGCTTCAGGAAGTACAAATCATGTGCAGACCAAATTGCAACGCTTCGTATCATCATAGAACAGAGCATAGAATGGCAATCAGCTCTCTGCCTCAACTTCATCGACTTTGAGAAGGCCTTTGACAACGTCGACCGAGAAGTAATTTGGAAACTGCTCCAGTACTATGGAGTACCGCAAACCTTTATCCGCCTCATTCAACAACTATATGAAGATGCCACATGCCAAGTAATCCACAATGGGAAGCTCAGTGATGACTTTGAAGTGAAGACAGGAGTGAAACAAGGTTGCCTACTATCACCCATGATATTCCTTATTGTGGTGGACTGGATCATGCAGCAAACAGTAGGCAGCGAGAAGAGGGGGATAAACTGGACGACGGAAAAGAACCTAGAAGACTTGGATTTCGCCGATGACTTATGCCTAATGTCACATAAACTTGAAGATCTGCAGGCAAAAACTAACAAGTTGATAGAAGAGGCAGCGAAGACGGGACTTCAGGTGAATATAGAGAAGACAGAAGTGATGAAGATACCGCACCACCACCACCAACAACAACAAACTCCAATCACCATCAACGGGAGAAACTTGAAGGAAGTAACCTCCTTCACTTATCTAGGAAGCACTGTTTCAACTACAGGCGGGACGGACGAGGACGTCAAAGTCAGAATCGGAAAAGCAAGACAGGCGTTCATTGGCCTGAAACCAGTGTGGAGATCTTCTGCACTCAGCATGTGGAGCAAGATACGGATTTTCAACACCAACGTCAAGTCAGTGCTCTTGTATGGTTCAGAGACTTGGCGCGTCACGAAAGGCATTTCCAATAAACTACAGATATTCATCAACAACTGCTTACGCTCGCTGCTGAAGATCAGATGGCCAGAAAAAATAAGCAACAAGGAACTCTGGGAACGAACCAACCAAGAACCTATCGCTCAACAAATATGCAGGAGGAAGTGGAGATGGATTGGCCATGCACTGAGAAGGCCGACGGAGGACATCACGCGTCAGGCCCTCGAGTGGAATCCCCATGGGAAGCGACGGGTTGGACGTCCGAGGGTGACATGGAGGAGGTCGTGCGAGCAGGAAATGAGAGCTTCTGGGCTGTCGTGGGACCAGGTTCAAAAGATCTCAGAGAACAGAGATCACTGGAGGCGTGCTACTGAAGCCCTATGTTCCACTAGGAACCCAAGGGACTAATAATAATAATAATAAAATATTTCCCTCCTCTTTCTATGTAAAGCCTAGTACTTTTAGGTATTTTACTGCAATCTTGCGGTTCAATTTATGATAATGTTTAACCAATCACATTCAAATGATTGGTTAGATGATAGTATGGGGACTACAGAGCTTGTTGAGCGGTGACGAAATGATATTCAGTGACTTTCAACCGGTCCCTATTGCTCAGTACTTCTCTTACTAACATAATGTTATTTATTATTTTGGTGTTTTTTTTTGTAACTTCAATGCAATTCATAAATATACCGTTTGAAATATGCTATAAATATTCGCTTATTAATCTTTTAAGATTGAAATAGTTCCAATATGAAATCATCTAAGAGACCAGTGTTAGCCTGCATCTCACATCAATATTTTATGGGCCTTCATTCATAAGTATAGGGTAGTTTATTTATCTGAACTATGATTAAGATTTGATCAAGTGGTATCACAAATATTGGCTATCAAATAAAAAACCGACATTAGGTGTAGGTTACATTTGTGCAAGTTACAGAGTGTTTGAAATAAAATAATCCCAACAATTCACATGGCAATGTTTAAGTGATTAGTTTATGCCTTTATATATATCTGACTTTCATCGAGTTTAGTCACTCTTCTTTCACAGTCAATCATAGAGGGCTCAGAAACTTCAACAGACATTCAAAAATGAAATGAACCACCATTACTTACTTCCAACTTGGCTGAGGAAAAACCGCAGGATATTAAAATAGACTAATGATAATTCCTAGAATCTAGAGTTTAAACTACTTAAAACCCCTGTATACTCTTTTAAACTATACGTTATGTGTTGAATTTTGAGGGAGTTGTGGAGATTTGGAGATATTTCAAGTTGTTATTCATTGTAGGCTGACATCAGTTGGAGGAACAAAGGAAACCTAGGGGCACTGGATAGCCGTTTCGTCTTTCTATGGGACTCCTCAGCAGTGCGCACCCACGACCACACACCAACAGGGATGGAACCCGAAACCTTCAGGTTCTGTGGCCAGTGCTATATCGTGAGCTAACAGAAGTTGGAAATATGGAACATTGGATTCTGACCCAGTAGCTAGCTCAATGGTAACGTGCTGGCCACGGAGGCTGAAGGTCGCAGGTTCAGTCCTTGGTGGTGCGGGGTCATGGGTGCGCACTGCTGAGGAGTCCCATAGGAAGACAAAACAGCTGTCCAATGCTCCTAGGTTTCCAAAGATTTTCCAACTGATGTCATTCCATGATGAATATTACCTTAAAGTTAAATATCCGTCAAGTCAAGGTTATATAGCTTTCTTCACCTGACAGAAACCTGCAACTATTTAATTTTCAATTTTATTCTGACTTATTCCATCATATAAGTTCATCCAAGATGTAAGTCAGCTAAAATTCAATATAAAATCACTCATTTGAAAGGGTTTCAGGAATTATTAAAGATTTTTCCAAAAAGAAGTTTAATTAGGTTCAGTGATGAAAGGTTGAAGACAAATAGCTACTATTCGTAGAACTGGATCTTGGGATTATAAGCATTCATCTTCATAAGACAAAACTTTATTTCTTCCAAACCTAAACCTTTATCAGTCATCTGTACAGTTTAAGATGGTATCATCAAGTTAATAAGATCATATCCGACTGCAAATTCAAGGTTTTTTATCAATAGCTTATAATGATCCTACATTACATCATTACATGACCTACGATATCTGTTCAATTTACCTTCTTTTTATTTATTAAGTACGTTAGTCACTAAACTTGAGTAATTATTGAAGACTGAAAAATAGTGTAGAGGTTGTCATCTGATGATTGGTTACTACGTTTAATTAGATTTAATTTACTAATGCTTTACTAACGCCATTATATCCCTGTAGTAACAGAGCGCTCAGAAATTAACAATTTCAACCCATTTGAACATATCATCCTATATTTCATTGAATGCTTCACGCTGATGACTGATTATCCCATGTGAACAGCTCCAAAAGTTTTCATCTCATGAAACAAAACTTACAGTAGTCTAATACTAATTGGATTGTAATAATATTTCAGAGAGTATCATTTCATTATTATCACTATTTGTCCTTTGGGTTCCCAGTGAAAAACACGGCTTCACTAGCACCTCACCATTTCACCCTTTCCTTCCAGTCTTTTTCTTTAAACTGGCTCCAAGACTGCCAACAAGCTTTCATTTCTTCCTCACACAATCTCCTCCATGTCACCCTCACCCGCGACGACAAACTCGTCGTTTCCCCCTTTGTATTCCACTCGAGGACCTGTCATGTGATGTCCCCACATGGTCCTCTCAGTGTATGCCCGATCCAATCCAATCTATTTCCACTTTATTCTTCTGCATATTTGTTGGGTGATGGGTTGTTGGTTGGTTCGTTGGCAGGCCAGAGTTCCTCGTTGCTTATTCTTTCTTGCCATCTATCTGGTCTTCAGTATCGAGTGAGCGTAGGTAGTAGCTGTTGATGAATGTCTGTAGTTTGTTTGAAATGCTTTCCGTAACGCGTCAAGTTTCCGAACCATCACATAGAAGCAGTGAATTGCCTGAACTAGTGTTTAAAATGCGGATGTTGTTCATGCTTTATGCTGAGTGTAGTAGATCTCCACACTGGTTTCAGATTAATGAAGGTCTGTCTTGCTGTCTTTCCGATCGTGGCTTTGACATCCTCATCTGTGCCTGTGCCACCTGTAGTTGAGGGGATGTTGCCTAGGTAGGTGAAAGAGACTACTTCCTTTAGATGTTTTCTGTTGATAGTGGTTGGTGCCTGATGTTGCTGTTGGTGGTGTTGGTTGGATATCTTCGTCACCTCCGTCTTCTCTAAATTCACTTGAAGTTCCACCTTCTCTGCCTCACCTCTTCTGTCAACTTGTTCGTTTTCGTCTGTAAATTTTGGAGTTTTGGCGGCATAAGACATTAGACATAAATCATCATCGTTAGCGAAATCCAAATCTTCTGGAGTGTTTTCATTGGTCCAGTCAGCGTATGCCAATCTTCTTGCTCTTCACGGTTTGCTGCATGGTCCAGTCTACTTGATAGCAATCAGGAAGATGATCAGTGATAGTAGGCGACAGCCTTGTCTTACTCCTGTCTTCACTTGAAAAGCGTCATTGAGCTTTCCATTGTGGATCACTTGGCATTTGGCGTCTTCATATAGCTGTTGAACGAGGTTGATAAAAGTTTGTAAGAATAAAACTGTAGTGTAGTGCTGAAGCAGTTTCTAAATTAGTTCTCGGTCGACGCTGTCGAAGGTCTTTTCAACGTGGATGAAGTTGGTGTAAAGAGTTCCGGTTCTGCCATTCTATGCTGTGTTCTGTGATGATGCACAACATAGCGTAGCGTTGCAATTTGATCCGCACATCATTTGATGATGGTTTATCCAAATGCACTACACCATTGAGTGAATTCTAAGTTCACCTTTTCGCCTTAGTATTAAAATAGGCCATAGTAATGTATTTGATGTTCGAGAACAGGTGAACAGATGCATTCAGTCTTCATTTCCTCCAAAATAGGAAGATCAGTGTGCAAGCGACTTACAAATTAGGACATTTGAAAAAAGCTGCTCACCTGTGAGAAATGTCATTGTTAACTATGCAGTTTTCAAGTCATTTGCAAATTGACTACCCTATTTTATGTAAACCTGTAGGTTCATACATTTCAGCTAACCATCCAGATTCAGATGATCTGAACTAATTCAGTCCTATGAGCTGAGTTTGTGCAGATACACCACTGATGAACTCTGCCCCAAACGAGCGAAAAAGTCGTCCGATGATTAGACCACTCTCATCTGGCTGGCGAAATCAGACTGTATGTTTTCTAACTACTCAAGTTTTTCAGTGGTATATTTCCTTTAAAATATTGAATACTCTTCAACTCTATGTCCTGTTTTTCTCTTTTCATGAATCCCCCTGTTCGCTTGCATCTTATTTCTGAGTATTACTGAAGAAATCAGGGTTATGAACTGGTGCATTTATGAGGTCTTGTTTTGTATTTTAAGGTTAGTAGGGATTTTATATTTAAGGTAGTATTCATCACAAACTAACAACATTTGGAGAACCATTGAAAATCTGAGTACACTTGACAGCCGTTTCGTGAGTGCGTACTGCTGAGGAGCCTCATACTAGAACGAAATGGCTTTCCGATGCTCCCAGTCTTTCAATGCTTCTCCGACTGGTATTATTTGTCTGGATACGACACTTTTTGTTCAGTGTCTTCAGGATTTCTTTCTAGTAAATAATCTTAAACTAGCAAGACATCTAAAAAGTGCCATTGGTTATTACTCGATAATAATCAGTTTAGTCGTACTGTACAACCATATTAATCTTGTAGGAAGAGATATTCCACAGAATACAGATCTACAACCTAGCTATATCCCTTAGCATTAACAACCTACACGATATTTCATAAAAGAAACAAAAGCTTTTAACCGTTATATGAATGCTTACTTGTTTCTCCGTGAATGTTGTTCTGTTCCGTCTACCCATCATACCAGAAACACTTGAATCAGCTATCATATCTTCATTTGACAATGGTGATTCCAATGAACCATCATTTAAATCACTATTAATTGGACTAGTTTGATATAATCTATCTGTACAACCTTTCTGAATATGAGTATCTTCATAACTAAATGGCTGAATGCTTTCTCTAATGTTTCTACAACTATCCATAGTGTTATTCTCTTCAGTGGTAGCTGAATTTACTGAATATTTATTTGGATCACTTTCCTGTTTGCGTATATCAGGTGATAATGAATGTGTAGATAATATACAACTGGTGCTATGGTTGTTTTCAATTGAATATAATTTTTCACTATCTTTTAATGAATGTTGTAAATGTTCTGGCTCATTAGTTTGTCTATTGGTCATTGAACTACAACTGTTGCTTTTCAACGACTTATCCTCATTTGAATAATGAACAACTGTAAATTGAAGAGAATGAAATGAGTAAAAGAAAATAATTAAAATTCAATGAAGCCGGTTCATAGTTGAGATAAGGAGTTATTACTATATTTGTTGTGATTTAGCTGATCTCATAGAGTTTTAGCTACAGAACGTTTCAGTATCATGATGCATATCACTATCAGTGCAGTTATCAGTGAAAATCGATTAACTTCATCGAAATGATCAATCTCTGTTGTCGTGTAAGCTGACAAGTTTTGTTTAATGAACCAGTAGTATTGTAGAATAGACGCTTTGTACCTACAAAAGCTTCATTATCCTCACTTAGGCTGCTGATATCATCAAGCTTGGTGACGAAAAGCCTATTACAAATTATCAAAGCTCAGAGAACACCAATATATCGTCATCTTTTTCTTTTGCATGGTACTTCTGTTTCAGGTGACACTGAAACTATATACTGGTAGTAGATGAAATTTTCATCTCAATTACCTCATTATTACCTGTTTAAATAAATCAACTAAGAAAACGAAAATTTCATTTGATAAGCAAAACTTTACAAGTACTGATCTTGAAAAGTACATGAAATCGAATTGTATCACTGGTCAATACATAAAGTGGTTTAAGCCACTTTATTTTTTATAAATACGAATATGATGTATTCCGTCTGTGAGTAACTTGTATATGGTTCAAATAGGAATAACTTAAGATTTCCAGAAGACTAAAATATACAGAAATGTTTAAAATTACATTAAAAAAATCAGCTCGTTTATCGTAGAATCAGAGAAAAGTTAAATCTAGAGACTGTCAGTTCAACTTATTTAACAAGTAGTTAAAAGTTAGTAGGTTTACACTGCTAAGGAACCCATATTAAGTAGAAAAAATTGTTCACTTCTCTCAGGTTTTCAGTAGTTCTCCAACTGATGTCAGTCCGCTAAGAATACTACCTTGAAATCAATTAGTCAGTCCATAGGAACCTTTACACTGAATTAATATTTCATTGTGTTTAGGAGTGATCATCTGAATTTACTTGTATCTTACTAATATCGTTTTTAGGCTTAAGACTAAATGTGTAATTAAAGGGACAAAGTATTGAATGGATATGACATATTCAGTACATAGTGGAACCTAAGTTTTGTACTTTCAGTACATCTACAATAATCACACAACTCGTGCACAAGTGCAAAATCAATATATTGTATTATTTTTTTCTTTTGGGTTCCTGGTGGAACATAGGGTTTCACTAGCACGCCTCCATTGCACTCTATTCTCTGCAGTCTTTTGAATATGGCGCCACGACTGCCCACAAGCTTTCATTTCTCCCTCACATGATCTCCTCCATCCCACCCTCACCTGACACGGCCGACTCATCGTTTCTCGTGCAGGTTCCACTTGATTGTCTGGCCTGGTACGTGATGTCCCCAGTCGGCCTTCTCAGTGTATGCTCGATCCAACCCATCTCCACTTTATTCTTCTGCATACTTGTTGGGTGATAGGTTCTTGGTTGGTTCGTTACCACAGTGAGTTCCTTGTTGCTTATTCTTATTATTCTGGTCATCTGATGTTCAGTATCGAGTGAGCATAGGTGGCAACTGTTCATCTATGACGTCTGCAGTTTGTTGGAAATGCTTTTCGTGACACACCAAGTTTCTGAACCATACAGAAGCACTGACTTGACGTTGGTGTTGAAAACCCAGATCTTGTTCAAGCTTTATGCTGAGTGCAATGCAGTGCAGTAAATCTCCATAGTGAGTTATTGAAAAAATGAGTGTATCCAGTTCCTATAAAATTGAAACTTTTCTCTTTTTTTAGTGTTATTGCTTGTATTATGCCGTCGTTGATTAGACCGAATTAATTGGTCTCTATTGGCATATGGGCTTCTACGCGGATGCCTCGATATACCTGTGTAGTTCTAGTTATAGCATAATACAAGCAATAACACTGAAACTATAATCGTCACACAAGAAGTGGCTATCGTGCCTCGGTGGTGTAGCGGATAACGCTCTGGCGCTTAAAGCAATCGCTGCCGAGTCCGAATCCCGGTGGGAACAACATCACTCTCTGGGAGGCAGGTACATCCAGCTGACGAATCCCAAATAAGACGAAGTGTTCATCTTGGATTTTACTGCTAGCCACTATTCATCTTTACTTTTTCTCTTCTTTTCCCACAATAAACCTATAGTTTACAACGTGCTGCAAATCCAGATTATGAGATTAACTTTATAGTCATTGTTTAAGTGAAACGATTTCTTGTTTAAATGCATATTAATGTTTCTGTGAGTGACTTTTAAATCCTTGTAACTTATATAAACGAAAGAAACATCATTAATAGTCTAAATTTATTTTCTAATCACTTTAACAAATAAAGATAAACCTTATATGTTTATCATCTGAAAGAAAACAAAACACATTGACACTCCTTATCATATTCATAATGTTCACGACAGATGATTCAATCAGAAATTTCTGCTGTTAACCAAGATTTCCAATCCTTATACGTGATTATATGTTGAATATCAGGTGTGAAACTCAGTTGGATTACAAAATTGTACAAATATTAGGGTATAATTAATCTGGATGTAGAAACTCGATGAATAACGATTCATATAATTAATGGCATATTTTGAATTTTTGCTTTACTCAAGAGACGGCCTTCATATGGGTACTTTATTTACTAGACAATCAGTAACATAAATATGAAGGATAGAATGAAATAGATTTCAGTACCCTTTTATAGATGTTTAGGCTTGGATCTGCTTTGTATAAACCCTGCTGTCCGTATACGCCCAACTTAGGAATCGTGTGGAGTATATAGGCTTAATTTATGGTATATGATGACATGGGAATTACTGATGAATTTGCATATCCACCTTGGTATTCATTTTGTTGTTTAGGAAGGCCATTCGTCAACTACGGAAATGGATGGTTATATTTTACATGTCAATAGACAAGCTGTAACCAGTTGAGAAAACTAAACCATATCCAATGTCATAAGCGGGTAACTTCTTTCTGTGTATACTTCGATCATGTCAGTTACCAGAGTGTCACAGGCTAAGTGGGCGATATAACCGATCTATACTTCAAAGTCCTAAGATCACAAGGAAGAGATATTGGCGACACGCAAATGGATTTGGTTCGTTAGTTGGTTGAGGGCAATCGTCAGCAAGGCGCATCTGTAACCTTGGGGGAAATGATGTCCCCTGCGTTGTTTGAACGCTCGTCAACAGTGCCAACCAACACCAAACCTAGGTCCAGAGCTTCCTCCTGATTACTTCCAACCAACCAACCAACATCCATCAAAGTGCACCGCAATGGTGAGCCTCCTAGCTTGGTAACCACACTACAAAATGATCGATAGAATTCGATCAGCACTCAGGACTAGACAGTATATGATTGGTTCCTTCCCGGTGACCAGTCGGTGTATTTGGTACGTACTAAGCAGTTGATAATCTGAAGTATGCAGCTTTTTTCACACATCTATATGAAGCAACTGAACAGTGTATGCCTTAAGATACATTAGTAACCATTGTACGTATTCCTAGACCATGTGGAAATTTTTAGTCAAAATAAAAACAACTAACCCGTGATATACATTGTTAGATTAGTTTTAGGCGATTGGTGAAATACATCAAGTTCTGTCTACCATAAGCAATATGTACTGGAATACCATTTGATTTCCTTCATATTTTTTACATAACTGATAAGTATTCTAGACACAAAAACTTTCTACGTACGTGTACTGAATGACAGTAAGCATACCGCCAAGTGATCAAGAACAATATAGTAGTACTATTTCTACAGTGTGCTGTCGCACTAAGATGTGATTTTGTTTTATAACGGATGACTTCATCCAATAGGTAATAATAACATGAAGGATAAACCCAGGGCACAAATACCATCAAGGATTTCAATCATTCACAAATCCTTGATATTTGTAAATCTACAGAATTATTTGATTACTCTTCTATTCCCCTAAAGTATATAGTATGTGTAGTGTTGTATTCTGCTTGGTAGCTAGTAGTGGGATTCAGGACACGCGTTTTGCCCTATTTGAGACTCGTCAGGTAGATGTACATGCACTCTAGCAAGTAATGTTGATCCCACTGACACTCAAGTCAAGTACTTGTCGCTTCAAACACTAAAACATAACCCGCTGGGCCACCAGGGAACAACAGCCACCTCTTGTGTAACGGGTGCCAGGTATTGTCTATTACTTGTAGTCTGGGTTCGAGTCTCACCGGGGACAATATCACTCACTCAGCTAGGTACATCTAGCTGACGAGTCCCAAAAAGGAAGGATGTGCTTCCTGGATTTCACTCTTAGCGACTAAGCAGAATATGACACAATGAATAACCGAGTAGTATCGAGGTATCCAGATAGGAGCCCATCTGCCAGCTGAGGTCGAGCATTTCGACCCGGTATCGCAACTGCTATACAATATTTAGTTTTATTATATAAATGTTTTTTATCGGGGAGTGACAAGGAGATTTAATAAACTACTGTTGAATATCATCTTCACCGCAGATAAATAAACATACCAACTATTTATTGACTGGTTTACTGATACAGAGAAAAGGCTCAATCACTAAGCTAAGTCAAATCTAATTGCAACTAAATGACACAGATTAAAACATCAACATTTCTTTAATTATCCTATTTATCAAGGTTACAAATAAAGAGCCAACTTTTAAATAAAAATTAGCCTTATCCACATTATTCACTTCACTAATTTGATAATGAACTAATGAAAAACATTAATGGATTAACGTAATGTAACTCTACTCATTGTATTTATCAAGTAGTAAAAGTAATAATATTATCAAGTTAAAAGCTATCCACTTGATGCATAAAACCTCAGCAACAGGTTCACATAAATGTTGCCAATCGAAACACATTTATACTATCTACGGGTATCTGAGAGGATGAGTCCACTTTGTGTTCTTTTATCTTGAACTAGATATACAACACATGAATATGTATAGAAATAAACAAATGAATAATCATACAGAGAAATTGAAAGTG